TATTTTTAAAGTAGTCCATTAATTGATTAATCATAGTAATTTCTGCAGGGCTGATGGCAATCCAGCATTGTGCCACATCTCTGGCTTAGTGTATCTACAGCCAAAAAAGTGTTCGCCCAGAGATTTACAGGGCTCCACAACTAACAGACATTATTTGATGAAATTTACTTAAACTGTAAGACAAAGACTGTAAAAATACTGTGGACTGTTTTAGTTTTTGTAAATGAAAAATAAATATACATTGTCACACAGACAGAACCCTTTTATTAACGCTGATGAAATCTAGATAAATAATTACGTTCTCTAGATTTCCAGTGTGAGGATGTACAAGCTCTTATCCACCCTGAATGTTAATGTAGGATATCTGATGATCAGCTCTCTCAGCTAAAAAAAACAAAACTCATGAAACAGGCCTAGACAAAAATGATGGTGCCGCCAAAAATAATGTGACCAAAGGGACATGTTAAATCAGGTGTGTCCAACAATTAGCATCACAGTGTCTACAATCTTGTAATCAGTCAGTGGGCCTGTATACAGGGCTACAGGTACTCACTGTTTTCTGTTCAGTTGTTTTCTGAGCACCACTYTGTCATCTGCTTCACTTTGTCTCTGGAGGCTGTCTCATCCCCTCCAGAGATGAAGCCAACTACAGTGGTGTCATCCACAAACTTAATGACTGAGTTGCTGTGGTGGGTGGGAGTGCAATCGTTCATGTACAATGTGAAGAGCAGGGGGCTCAGCACACAGCCCTGTGGTGAACCGGTGCCAGTGGTAACAGCTAAGGGGTAGGTTCCCACGACAACTTTGTGTGYGATCTGTCAAAAAGTCTTTAATCCGGTGACATTTGGAGTCTGGGATCTGCAGGGCTGAGAGCTTGCCCACCAGTCTGTGGGGCTGGATGGTGTTTAAAAGCAGAGCTGAAGTCGATGAAGAGGAGACGTGCGTAGCTCCCCTGGTGCTCCAGATCAGCCAGAGCAGCATACAGGGCTACAGCAATGGCATCCTCACTCAAGCTGTTCCTGTAGGCGAATGGCACGAGGGTTAAATAACATAATATGCCTCTGAACTAGGCTCTCCAAACACTTCATGACCACAGGGGTCAGTGCCATTGGCCTGCAGTCATTCAGGATGGTGATGGGTGATTTTGTTTGTTATGGGGACTGTGATGAAGGACTTCAAGCAGGGTGGGACTGTGGCCTGAGACAACTCTGTTGGGTCCAGCAGCTTTCCTGGGGTTGGCAGCATGCAGCGAACATCTCACCTCTTTCTCCTCCACTGTGAAAATGGAGGAGATGTTGTGACCTGCTGTATGTGCATGTAGCAAGTAAACAGAAAGGCTAATTAACTGTTTCTCTTCTACCAACTCTATTACCTGTTGGGGCACCAGGTCAGATTTACTGATCAATGTTCATTCACCCTATTCATTCAACACCCAGTGTTGCTGATATATCTAAGCTAGCTAGTAACATGCTAAGCGGTCTTAACACATCTTCCAAAAATAAGTCGCCAGTTAGCTTATTTTAAGAGTAAAACTGAATCAGTTGTCAGTTTCTATAGCTTATAATGCTGATAATAATAAAAACAAGACCCTTACCTACTGTGGAGGAGCGGTACTTGGACCGGAACCTTCCATTGGAGGACTGTAGGCAGATGTAGGCTGTGTCCAAAATGAGATGCCGGGTCCTCTGAAGACCCAGCCTGCCCGGTCTAGGTGGGCCGGGTCCTTGGTAGACCGTGAAGACCGGAAAAAAGTGGCTGTGAGTTTGGACGGTCTAGCCTCCCGTACTTACCCTGGCGTACGTCCTGTCGACTAGCAACCATGACAACGCCAAGCAGAAGCAAAATTAGATCGAAATTAGAAAAATATCAATATATTAACGTTATTAATATCACAAAACAAAAGTAACTTAAAGGCAATATTTGATGAACTAATGGACATGCAGACAACAGAGCTGCTTCATGGAAGAAGAACCTCAGCTTAGCTTGTTAGCTTTAGCATTAGCACCAACACTATATGTATTAGCTCAGCGCTAGCACAACAAACAAGCTAAACTGAGGTCCTCCATCCATATTT